TGGTTTTGTTTTGTTTTTTTTCAGACCAAGTCTCACTCTGCCAACCAGGCTAGAGAGCAGCGGAGCGATTTTGGCTGACTGCAGCTTTTGCCTCCAGGGTTCAAGCCATTCTCCTGCCTCAGCCTCTCGAGTAGCTGGGATTACAGACATGCGCCACCACGCCCAGCTAATTTTTGTATTTTCAGTAGAGACAGGGTATCCTACAATTCAGTTCTGACCCTAACTACCCAGAGTTAGCACAGACCCCACAAGATGTAGGCCCAGCCCCACAACACTGCGCCCATTTCTATGCCAGTCTCAGCACCTGCCGTCCCATGCTCTGACTGGCTGTAAACTGGAGGTTCCCACAGACCCCCTCCTGGGGTTAGACAATTTGCTACAGGAGTTCACAGGAGTCAAGAGGCCACTTTACTCATGATTACTAGTTTATTACAAAGACTGCAACTCAGGGAAAGCCACGTGGAAGAGACACACAGGGCCATGTATGGGGGCAGCATGGAGCTCCCAGGCCCACTCCAGATGCCCACCCTCCCTGCACCCCGCACTCCCCCACCCGACAGCTCTCTGAGTCCTATCATTTGTGGTTTCTGTGGCAGTCACGTTATTTGGGCATGGCTGATTGAATAATTGGCCACTTGTGAGCGAAGTCCTCCTGCAGCTGCTCTCTGGGGGCCCAGCGTGGGGCTGAAAGCTCCAGCCCTCTAATCACATGGTTGGTTCCTCTGGCAACCAGCCCCATCCTGCAGCTATCTAGGGGTCCACCAAGAGTCACCGCATTAGCACAGACTCAGTGTGGCTGGAGGAGCTTGTTATGAATAGCAAAAGAGCTTCCTTACCCCTGTCATTCAGGAAATTCCAAGGGTTTCAGATTCTCAGTGTCAGGAACAGGGACAAAGACCAAATGTCCATTTCGTGTCATCACAGGGATTCCATGTGTATATGAATCAAGATTTACTTAATTCCCCATTACTAAAATTTAGTTGTTTTAATTTGTTCCTGTTTCTACCAACTCCATCAACAATTTCATCCTCAATATACGATTTTGTGCAGCGCTCTCTGGTAGGCCTTGGAGAGAGAGAAGAATGCAAATGAAATAAGAAAAGCCTCTGCCCTTCAGAAACTTTTAGTGAAGATCTCTTTTTCAAAAAGCTGCAAGATTGCTGCCCGACGTGGGACACACAGCCTAAAGAAGGGCGGGAACCTGCAAGGACGGCCCAGCCACGTGGAACCACCTCTGGCAACCAGGAGGACGAAGTGGGTGCTCAGTGGCGCCACCGTGTGGAACTCTGGGAAACAGAAAACCAATTTTCTGCTTTCAGGGCCAGAGTTTCACCTGGGTTTCTGACTGGAGTCAACTGTAGCAGGAACAGCCCTGACCGTAAGTCAGAATCCGAGAGCGATCTCAGCTCACTCACTGCTACCTCCGCCTCCCAGGTTCAAGCAGTTCTCTGCCTCAGCCTCTCAAGCAGCTGGGATTATAGGTGCCCGCCACCACTCCCAGCTAATTTTTGTTATTTTTAGTAGAGACCGAGTTTCACCATCTTGGCCAGGCCGGCCTTGAACTCCTGACCTTGTGATCCACCTGCCTCGGGCTCCCATAGTGCTGGGATTACAGGCGTGAGCCACCACGCTCCGCCACTCTTGCACCATTTGTCACTGGCTACAGGCCACCGCCAGGGAGAGGCAGAGACTTTTGGGTATTTCTGGGCCCGGAGGCTCCTCTGGAGGAGGGGCTGCTCTTAGGTGAAGGGTACCATCATGCCCTGTTAGAGTGGCTAACACAGACAGAAGCTGGTGGCGGCCACATGGATCAGATAACAGGAATGTGGGGGGAGCATCACAGCATCAGGAATGTGGGCGGGGCATCACAGCATCAGGAATGTGGGCGGGGCATCACAGCATCAGGAATGTGGGCGGGGCATCACAGCANTGTGTCTCCCCCATCAGACAGGGGCTCCCTGGAGATGGGAGCTGTGTCTCACCTCTCAGACAGGGACTCCCTGGAGATGGGAGCTGTGTCTCCCCCTCAGACAGGGGCTCCACAGGGACAGGCGCTGTGTCTCCCCCTCAGACAGGGGCTCCCTGGAGATAGGAGCTGTGTCTCACCCCTCAGAAAGGGGCTCCCTGGAGATGGGAGCTGTGTCTCCCCCATCAGACAGGTCTTCCCTGGAGATAGAAGCTGTGTCTCCCCCATCAGACAGGGGCTCCCTGGAGATAGGAGCTGTGTCTCCCCCATCAGACACTGGCTCCCTGGAGATGGGAGCTGTGTCTCCCCCATCAGACAGGGGCTCCCTGGAGATGGGAGCTGTGTCTCCCCCATCAGACACGGGCTCCCTGGAGATAGAAGCTGTGTCTCCCCCATCAGACAGGGGCTCCCTGGAGATGGAAGCTGTGTCTCCCCCATCAGACAGGGGCTCCCTGGAGGCAAGGGCTGTTTCATCCACCTAAAACAGATCTTTCCCAGGTTGGAACCAAGCCTTCTTTTTCTGAACTGTAGGTGAAGCCTAGATCCAAGTGCTGACACGTCCTTGGAAATATGTATGAAATTGCTTTATTCTCTCTCACACTGTGTCCTTTCCACAGACATGTACCCACATGTGCACACACAGAGAGACACACACAGACACACAGAGCTGGGTTCTCCATTTAGCTGCCGATCGCCAGGTCACGCCTCCTCCCGGGTCAGGCTCCGGTGGGCAGGAGGCTGCCTGAGCCCCTCTAGTAGAGGCTGTGTTGGGCGCAGTGGCGGGCGCACAGCTGCCGGCGGTACTGCAGGTGGTAGTCCTTCGCCAGCTTGCCCAAGACGTAGAGGAACTCGTCGAAGCAGAGCTGGTCGTCCTTGTTCTTGTCTGCTGCCCGGAACAGCTCTGTGATATAGTACGGCTCCTTCCGGCCCTGAGGAGTGGGCAGAGGGTCAACTACCCACCCCGGCAGGCAGCCCCCCTGCCAGGCTCCCCACCGTCCACTGGGAGGGGATGGGGTCACTGCGGCCTGGCCTGGCCTGCAAGGGCTTACAGGAAATGACTCCTCACTCCAATAGTCAGTGACCAGGACACCGAATGCTGCAAAGTCAGGCTCAAGAGACAGGGGCATGGCAGGTGTCCCCATAACCGAGCCTGGAGCTAGCTACGTGTGTGCAGACTGCCTGCAGTCCCCAGGCAGCAATGGCATCCCAGACGCACTTCGCATCCACCATCAGCAGCTGTTGACACCTCTCTTCACTGCAGCTGGGCTGCAGACTCCTCTGGAGGAACAGCCCAGCCAGGGCTTCCTCACGGCAGGGCAGTGCCTTCCTCCACACCAGGAGCTCTCCAAGAGCAGAGTCGACCTGGCCCTGGAGTCCGCACCCCCAGCACCGCTGCAGGGCTGTGCCCAGGAGGTCAGAGGTTTGCATGCCTGTGCATCTGCCCGCATCAGAGGCAATTCCCAAGAAGATGCACAGCATGCAAACCTCTGACCCCCTGGGCGCTGGGCCCCCATAGAGCACAGAACGAGGGGAAGAACAAAGCCAGGCGCCTGGGAGTTGCCCAGGTTGTTCTGAGGCAGGTGGCCCAGCGATGGCCCTAAGGGTTGAGAAGTGGGGATGGTAGAGGAGAGGAAAGAGGCACTGGAGGCAGGAGGAAGCGCATGAAGGAAGTCAGGGCCAGAGCACAGCACGGGGACAGAGCGGGAAGAGACAAGGCGGGCCTCATGAGCACTGGGCGGGGCGGGTGAGGCAGCTTTCAGCAAGATTTGGCTGGTGGGCATGAGGACCCCAGTGTGAAACCTTAGAAAGCACTTGGGGGAAGCAGCTGTGGGCAGCTTTGCAGCCTCTCTGTCCCCTCAGTGCCCACCCCTGCCACCTGTTCCTGTGATCTTAACTGCTCCACAAAGCTGGTTACTCAGAGGAGCTGGAGGCTTCCCACCTGAGGCAGGCTCTCCAGGATTCCCTCACCTCAGCCCACCTTCCCCAGGGCTGCCCTCTGTGCCCAGGTTCTGTCCCCAAGGGCCCCGTGCCCCGGGTGGGGCTGTGAGCCCCACGAGTGCAGGCCGTCCTGGCACAGTTTGCCCTAGAAAGGACTAGGTTTCCTGGAAACAGGACCACCCACAATCACCGCCCCCTCGCTCCATCCCTCTCTAGAGGCAAGGCTGTCTCCTCTGGTGCTTCCCAACATTAGGCAGGGGAGATGGGAAGTGACCGAAGGAGAGTCTTCCTGGATGGAGTGGCCTTGAGTCAGGATGGACCAGAAGTCCTCTGGAGATGATGGTCCCAAGACCCCAGGGCATAGATAAAGAGCAGCACCCCACAGACACCTTTGCAGGCCTTGTAGTCCCCAAGGAGCCCTGGGGACTACAAGGGCCTGGGTCTGATGACAAAGAAGATGGGCAGGGCCTGAGGAGCTGTCTAAGCCTGAATTTGGGTCCTGGGCCTGTCCAGGTCTGAGAGGCTCTGCGGACAGGAGGTAGAAGGGTAGGTCATGTTCCCTACCCCACCCCACCCTATTCCACCCTGGTTAGGGGGGCCACAGCAGCCCCTGCCATCCTCCCTCCAGGCATGGGGGCAGGAGGGCCAGGCTTGTGCAGCCCAGGAGAAGGCGCTGAGCTCAAAGGGCTGGCCAGGTGGCACGAGTGAGGAGCAGAGGCATCCACAGGTTTGTGGTTAGGACTGAGTTTCAGGAATCCACTCCTAAGTTTGGGCTGGAGTGAGGCCAGGCAGAGAGCTCGGGGAGAGGGAAGGACAAGAAACATAGCTGTGCTGGGAACACCCCTCTGTGGCCGCAGATCCCACCGTCTCCTGAATTAAAGATTCTCGGGGCCAAGCGCAGTGGCTCACACCTGTAATCCCAGCACTTTGGGAGGCCGAGGTGGACTGCTTGGGGCCAGGAGTTGGAGACCAGCCTGGCCAACATCGTAAAACCCCATCTCTACTAAAAATACAGAAATTAGCCAGGTGTGATGGTGGGCACCTGTAATCCCAGCTACTCGGGAGGCTGAGGCACGAGAATCACTTGAACTTAGGAAGCGGAGGTTGCAGTGAGCGGAGATCGCACCACTGCACTCCAGCCTGAGTGACAGAGTCAGGTTCCATTTCAAAAAAAAAAAAAAATTCTCATAGGAGACAGTGCCCTCTGTAATACCCTCACTATTTGCTTTCAACACTCACTTGCCACCCCAGAACCCACCCTGTACTGGCGCCCTGGCCCCACTTGAGTCCCCACCCTGATCCCAGACCCTGCGCACCAAGCTGTCCATGAAGCGGGGCACATTGTCCATGAGCAGGGCCTGCAGCTCCTGCAGGGACAGGGTCTCCACGTCGCCTTGCCGGGCCGCGTACTGGTGGAAGCAGCGGATGATCTGGAAGAGAGATTCCTCCACTGGGGTGTCTGTCATGACGGGCGGGCCCTGGCCCCAGGCAGGGGGCACAACGGGAGGGGCGGGGGTGCAGCCGCCGGGGACAGTGGAGAGTCTGGGAAGAGAGAGCAGCGCCTTGTCCCAGCCGGTCCACAGCAGATGCTGCTTCCTCCAAGAACCTTCCGCCCTCTTGTACCTGCCCACATTCCCGCACCCAGTCTCAGGCCCCCGGGGTCCCTATACTCCATCTGACCCCTTGAAAACGTGACTCAAAGTCACTGCCCTGCAAGAAGCTTTCCTGGAAAGTCTCAGGACAGGGCTCTGTCCATCCTCTGGGACTGAGGGCCTCCTGGGCACAGGAGCTGCCTCCTCCTCCCTCCAGCCTACTGCAGTCAAGAATGAGGAGAAACTAAAGACTCAGGCAAGACAGGGTTTGGGCTGTTTTCCAATAGAAATATTTTTAAACCCTTGAAAAGGCAGAATCCGCACTATCATAAACTGTCTTGTGCAACAAACAGAATATTAGAGTTAACTGCCCTACGCAGAAAAGTCCGCCCTACTCTTGAGCCATTATTTTCCTTCCCAGTTTAATCCATAGACAGCACATGGATCCCGCCCTTGCTCCTGCCGCCACTGCACTGTGCCACCCTCTCCAGAGGAAGTCCACGTGCCATCAGCACCACCCTTCAGCCCTCACATCCCGTGGCCGTCCTGGGGGCTCTGTGCAGCCTCTCTGGGTGCTCTGATGCCTGTGACCCCCCAGTCCTCACCTCCTATGGAGATCCTGACGAGATCACCCTGTCAGGTCACCTGTGTTCCCTGGACTCTCCAGATAAGAGTCAGGACAATGCTGCTTCCACTGCTCATGGAGCCAGCCAGGCACCCAGTGAGCACTTTATGCAAATTACCCCATATCTCATGTAACACCCACAAGGGTCAGAGGAGGCAGGCACCATCACCGCCATTTTCCTAAGGGGGAATTGAAACTCAGAGAGGATAAACAATTTCCCCAAGATCACACAACTGATCCACCCGGAGCTGCGTTCAAACCCACATCTTTGGTAACAAGCCCAAAGGCATGCTTTCAGCTCCGATCCTAACTCCCTCTTGGGCCACGGTTGTGCTGCTGAGATGCCCATCCACACTGTGCGTGTTCTCCAAAACACGGAAGCTGCCCACCTCTGCTTTTGAGAACCTGCACAGACCCAACACAGACACCCACTCCCTCAACTCTCTTGGAAGAGGCACTGACCTGTCACTGTTGGGGTGAGGTTCCGAATCCGCAGATCCAGCCTGTAGTTGATCCCAGAGATACCCCAGCGCTCAGGCAAGAGGCGGCTGTAGGAGCTGGGAACCGGCCGCCAAGCCGCACACCCTACCCATCCTCAGCACCTCCAATTCTGGCAGCCAGTGTTTGTCGCTTCACATGTCCTTCTGCAGCAGGACCGAGCCTTATAATTGCATTCCTGAGATGACATCACAACACTTAACTTCCTAAGATTAATGTTTTAGGGGCCCACTTCCCTCGGATCAGGATCTGAAGCATCTAAGAATCACAAAAGGTCCCATTATCTGTCTCCTTCCCTCAGAGCTCGTCCTCCCAGCTCGAGGGCTTGGGTGGGGTGAGACACACACTTAACTACATCTCCCTGGGATGTCCTCCCTCAATTAGCGAACCCCCAAATTCCACTGTCATGAAGCACATTCATTCCTTCATTCATTCAATAAATACTCTTGAGTACCTACAGTGTGCCAGGCCTTCTGCTAGGCAATATGCATGAGACACAGGGCCAGCTCACAGGGTGGGGACGTGTGAGGGGACAGTCACACACTGTCACGAGGCACATGCAAGCCAACTGAGTGACTCCGGGCACACAGGAAGGAACAGCTTCCGCCTGGGAAGTTGAGGGAGACTTCCTTAGGGAGGTGATATTTCAGCTGGGACTTGAAGAGACATTTTGAGTTGCAAGGAGGACTGGAGGGCCAGGAGGGCCAGACAGAGGACATGGCACAGGCAAAGGCCTGGGGGTGGAAAGAGCACGACCTACTCAGGGGATGGAGTCCCCAGGGTGCCCCATGAGAAGTCAGAAGGAACAAGGCTGGAGAGGCAGGAGGGAGACAAGATCCGAAGACCCCGTGCCAAGCTACAGTTGCAACTTTGTCCCATCCAGCTCATAGTCTGCAGGTGGAGACAGACATCTTAGCCAAACCTCCAACCTACTGTACTTAGAAAAGCACCACAAACGTGGTGCCAAACATGCATCCCCCACCTCACAACCCCAACCGCTGGGGCCAGGGCAAGGCTGCCATACACGAACAAGGAAGGAAGCTAATAGAGGATTTTTTAAATCATTTGGGTGATGGATGGAGGTGAAAGAACAGTGGTAGAACCAAATTGTTTATCAGCAAATCAGTGACCCTACTCTGAGGGGGCCAGGCCTGTAGGCTCCTCATCCCTACAGATGGTACCTGGGCCCTTGAGTGACAGGTGGGGTCCCGTCTGCCACCTCACCCCAACACAAGACTCCTCCCAGCCTGCCCCTTCTCCTTGGCCCCATTTCACCCCACACAGCTCCCTTGGGAGGGCCCACACAGGCTGATGACTGAGTCTTCCAGAAGGGGGCACCAAACGATAGGTCATTAAACCAGAGACTCTATCTATGCATCCCTGAAGGTTGGAGAGAAAGTCATAGGTAGATACTGAAGCCAACACATTTTTCAGTTTGCTGGGTGAGCCTTCATTGACTTAACATAATAACTTCCCCATGGCTTGAATTTATCAGCCTTGCCAAGCTAGAGCCACAAAAAAACTGTATTGAATTCTTTGGTTCAGCCATCGTTCCCCTGGCAATTTATCCCAAAACAATTAATGAAGCAGATGTTAGAAAAAAAAATCATCAGGAAAATGTCCACCACTACAGCATCTATAACCAAGAAACAAACACAAAAGCAAAACCTTAAAGCCATCTAATGAACAAACTTGGTATACCCATATGGTTCACCCTTGGACAACTGCTGAATAATAGCTTGTTGTTCAGAAGAAACTTCATTTCTGACCTATGGCTGGGATGGTGGGGCAGACCGCGCTCCTCTTCACTCTGCTCTGGGACAAAACACCCCCCTACACCATGCCAATTCCCAGGGGGGCACAGCTGTGCTGTAGCTGCACATTTTACTCAATGTTATGCTGTGGACAGCTCACATGCTTCATGAATGCGAGCCTGATTTTTAGTGAGTACCTAGCGATCATCTGTTTGCACGTATCAAAATTTGTCTTATGAATCCATTATGGTTAGCCATTAAATTACTTTTATTTATACATTTCAATGTCAACTCTTCCTTAATGTTTATCAGAATTTTGCCATGGGTTAGGTGCTAGGTGCACCCGTGCTAGGTGCTGTGGAGAAAGGGGACAGACATGAATAACATTCTGCCTTCCAGCAACTCATAGTCTGTAGGTGGAGACAGACATCCAGACAAAACTTCAGGTACTGTACTTAGAAAAGCACCACCAACGTGGTGCCAAACATGCATCTCCTATGTCACAATCCCACCACCCGTGGCCAGGGCAAGACTGTGACCTTGACAAACATGGCCTGCATGTCTTTCGGTGTGCAGACCAGTTACTGAAAGCAATGCGCTGTGACATACAGAAGCCGCTACAGCAGCGGAGTAGCGCTTTCTGGTGAAACTGAGAAAGGAGGTTACCTGAAATTGGCCCTGAAGCACTCCCACCCACGCTCCTGTCCATACCCAGGATTTTAGACACCTCAAGGATTGGAAAGAGCTCAAGAAGGATAATATTCAATTTCTGACTAAGAGAGCAGTGGGGTGACATGGAGCTCCCAGGCCCACTCCAGATGCCCACCCTCCCTGCACCCCGCACTCCCCCACCCGACAGCTCTCTGAGTCCTATCATTTGTGGTTTCTGTGGCAGTCACGTTATTTGGGCATGGCTGATTGAATAATTGGCCACTTGTGAGCGAAGTCCTCCTGCAGCTGCTCTCTGGGGGCCCAGCGTGGGGCTGAAAGCTCCAGCACTCTAATCACATGGTTGGTTCCTCTGGCAACCAGCCCCATCCTGCAGCTATCTAGGGGTCCACCAAGAGTCACCGCATTAGCACAAACTCAGTGTGGCTGGAGGAGCTTGTTATGAATAGCAAAAGAGCTTCCTCACCCCTGTCATTCAGGAAATTCCAAGGGTTTCAGATTCTCAGTGTCAGGAACAGGGACAAAGACCAAATGTCCATTTCGTGTCATCACAGGGATTCCATGTGTATATGAATCAAGATTTACTTAATTCCCCATTACTAAAATTTAATTGTTTTTATTTGTTCCTGTTTCTACCAACTCCATCAACAATTTCACCCCCAATTAGGATTTTGTGCAGCACTCTCTGGTAGGCCTTGGAGAGAGAAAAGAATGCAAATGAAATAAGAAAAGCCTCTGCCCTTCAGAAGCTTTTGGTGAGGATCTCTTTTTCAAAAAGCTGTAAGATTGCTGCCCGACGTGGGACACACACCCTAAAGAAGGGCGGGAACCGGCAAGGACGGCCCAGCCACGTGGAACCACCTCTGGCAACCAGGAGGACGAAGTGGGTGCTCAGTGGCGCCACCGTGTGGAACTCTGGGAAAGAGAAAAACAATTCTCTGCTCTCAGGGCCAGAGTTTCACCTGGGTTTCTGACTGAATGTTCATTGCCAACTTGAAATCCGGCTGAACAGGTAAATTTCTCAGGGTACTCATGGGTCACTTCCCAGCACTGTCTGTGTATGTGGCCTCTGAGAAAGTAACCCCCTTTATCAGAATAACAGAATTGACAGTCAATCCTTCCAGCCAACCCATTCAAGACAGGATAGTGGGTGTTAGCCCAAAACCTCATCATTTTATAAGCCCCCTGCCATTTCACAGACCTTGGTCACGGCAAAACATTCCATGGAGATTCTGGCCGTGAGAAACGTCCCTAACGTCCCGACTGCAAGGCACAGGAACATCCTTACCACACCTGCTGGGCAAAGGTCCAAGAAACAGCCTGTCACGTCCCACCGTAAAAAGGTCCAACCCACCTGATCACATAAGCAGCTTATCAATATCCTCCCAGGCAGCAAGCCATCATGCCCAGACCCCCACCCCAGGCCTAGAAATTACCCCAGCCTGTAAGCAGCAGGGGGCTGTGGCATCAGGCTGCTCCCCCACCTCCTCAGATCTTGTGCCGGACATAACACCTGCGTTGCTGTAGAGCCTCCGATTCTCTCTGCATCTTTCTTTAACCCTTGCCCTCCCTTGGACCACAGGTTCTAGGCTGCAGCTGGGTGTTCTCATCCTCCAGTGCGGATGGCTGACAGCAGAACAGAGTCCTAATAATCTCTTGTGAACGCTGTGGGACTCTCTCTCACTCTCTCTCTGTCCCCCTCCCCCAACTGCCGCTTGAGTCCAGGGATGCAGCCGGCCAACACCACCCAGAAGGGCCCCAAACAGAAGAGCTGACTGTCTCGGAACATTCCTGTGGCTCTCTCTGTCCTCCCCTCTGCTCCTGGCAGTGCTCCACGTCCTATTGAAAGGATGCCCAACAAAGCTTTCCCTGGTTCCCCCACCTGAAAAGCGATTTCTCCTCTTCCAAATTCCCACACACTTTATCTGAACCTTTCTGAAGACACCTGCCTCACTTGCTAGTTCAGCCAACGTGTACGGAGTTCTCTGCACTGGAGGCTGGGGGCACACGACCAAGGGCGGGTGGCATCAAACATAGCACATGTGTGGCCAGGGCTGTCACCAAGATGTGCAGGGACATGGGGATGGTGGCTCTGCCTGGAGAAGGCTTCACAGAGAAAGTGACCACTGACCTGCCTGGGGAGCTGGGGGCTCCCGGATCTGTCCACCCCCCTCTCTCACCACACAGTGGCTTAGTGGAGCTCCCTCCTGGGGCCGGAGCATGGCTCAAAGCACCGTCCACATCTACTCCATCTCCCTGACACCCCCACACCTGCTCGCCAGGAACACAGTCAGCACTCAAAACACAAATGAATGGATAGAATACAGCAAACAGAGCAAATGGCTTCCTGTCCTCTTCCCCAGCAACTTGAGATTTTCTAGAGACCCAGGAGTGAGTTGCCTCTACCTCAGACTGAGGAGAGGGGAGCTGCCCAAAAACATGGAGGAGATGAACATATCAACCAGCCAGATTCCTGTTCACGGCCAGCCTGTTGTGAGCTCTCCCCGGTGATCAGCAGTGGCTGGGAGGCTGGATGCGTGCTGGGGCGGGGTGGGTTTATGGAGTGTTTGTTCCAGATATGACACAGGGGAAGGGCTCACAGGGTTCACTGTGATCAGCAGGTGCAAAAGATAAGACTCTACTAGGCTAATTTGCTAAGATTCTGATTTTGGCAAAAACAAATGATCAGTTTTTTGGATGTCTTAAATACGTTTGAAATTTATGTATATTCTATATGGTTGGGCACAAATTTATGAATGCATGTGTGTATAAATAAACTTAAGTGTGTCCTTCAAATATTTTATACCAAGAATCAGCAAATTATGGTCTTCAAGCCAAATCCAGCTGGCCACCGGTTTCTGGAGATTAATGTTAATTAGACACAGCCGTTGTCATCCACGGTGCCCTTATGTCTGGGGCTGCTTCTGGGCTGTGGCAGCATCTGCCCGCCCTGCTCTGCACCATTCCTGGTGTTTTGTTATCTGACTACCCTACTGAGACCTGGGCAGACTCTGCCAAAACCTGCCAAGTGATTATAAGTTTGTCCATTTCCATGTATTTCTTTCTATGTTTGCTTTATATAATTCAAAATTATGTTGTTGTGTGTATAAGGATAAGACTACTGCGGTGATTCACACCTGGAATCCCAGCACTTTGGGAGGCTGAGGTGGGTGTATCACCTGAGATCAAGACCAGCCTGGCCAACATGGTGAAACCCCATCTCTACTAAAAATACAAAAAACAGGTGCCATGTGCCTGTAATACCAGCTACTCGAGAAGAATAGCTTGAACTCATGAGGAGGAGGTTCTAGTGAGCCGAGATGATGCCATTGCATGCTAGCCTGGGCAACAAGAGCAAAACTCTGTAAAAAAGGAAAAAAGAAAGAAAGAAAGAAAACAGAAAAAAAGTATCAGACTATTGCATCTTGGGGACTTGCACACCAATCAATGAGAACTATTCTTCTTTTCCGTTTATTCCTTTCCTTAGAACTCTTTGTTGTCTTGCATTAATATTGTTGTCCCTGATTTCTTTTGTATTGCTTTACTTCTGTTCCTTTTTTTCCTACGTGGTGATGATATATAACTCAGAATGAATCACAGACCTAAATGCAAAACACAGTGTTACAAAACTCCTCGATGGTAGCATAAGAGGAAGCATGATCATCTTGGTTTTGGTGATGACTTTTTAGATGCAACACCAAGGCATAGTTCATGAAAGAAAGAATTTGTAAGCTGGACTTCTTTAAAATTAAAAATTTCTGCTTTGTGAAAAATATCATCAAGAGAATGAAAAGACAAGCCATAGACTGGGAAAAAAATGCTCACAAAAGACTTGTCAGACAAAGGAGTGTTATCCAAAACATACAAAAAACTTCTTACACTCCATGATAAGACACAAACCAACCAATGAGAAAATGGACCAAAGACCTTAAAAGACTTCTCATCAGAAAAGATACGGCAGGTGGCAAATCAGCATATCAGAAGATGCTCCACATCATATGTCCTCAAGGAAACGCAGATTGAAACAACAGTGCAATGCCAGTACACACTTATGAGAATGGCCAAAATGTGGAACACCGACAACACAAAACGCTGAAGAGGGATGTGGAGCAATAGGAACTCCCATTCATTACCGGCAGGAACACAGAATAGTACAGCCACTTTGGAAGACAGTTTGGTGCTTTCTTAAAAAACTAAACACACTCTTACCATAGGATCCAGAAATCACACTCCTCAGCACTTACCCAAAAGAATTGAAAACATGTCTCCTCAAAAACCCGCGTACAAATGTACATAAATAGATTGCACAGCGGTGAAGTCCGAGCTTTTAATGTAGCCCATCCTAAATAGCGTGCGTTATGCCACTAAAAATGTCTCATCCTTCACCCACCTCCTGACTGCCGCCCTTCACAGTCTCCAGTGGCTGTGATTCTACTCTCTGCCTCCATCTGTATGTATGATGTAGCACCCACTTATAAGTGAGGGCACGGAGTATTAGGCTTTGTGTTTCTGAGTAATTTCACTTAAGGTCATGGCTTCCAGTTCCATCCATGTTGCTGCAAAGGTGTCATTTCATTCCTTTTTATGGTTGAGTATTCCGTGTGTGTGTGTGTGTGTGTGTGTGTGTGTCTGTGTGTGTGTGTGTGTGTGTGTATATCTTTTGCCACTAAAATAATATCACCATTATATGCAGAAGTGGGAGAGGGAGAAGCAGGTGCCCCTGGTTACATGAGGACTGATGGAGAAGGAAGCTGAAGGGATATGATGGGTGGAGAAAATAGGCCCCACCTAGGAAGATATCACATTGGCTCTATGGAGCCCCAGAGTGCTTAAGGGGCCGGCACTGAATGAACCCGGAACTCTCCAGCAGCGCACAAGGAACACTGGAAGGGGGCGGCAGAAAAAGAGCCCATTTCAGTGATTCACCGTCTCTCTTTCCTCACCGTGCCCCAGGGACTCTGCGCCTTCCCAACCTCCTAGCCCCTACCTGGGTCAACGTTTCCGCAGCAGGTTAGGGCACATTATGGCCAAAAGCACAACGCCCAACTCCTACACAGGCTGTTTTGCATAGAGGAAGAAAAACATTGGAGACTTTCTGGGAAGTTACTGCCTTGGGGCAGGAAAGAACTTTGCTCACTCCCTGCCTCCAGGCTTATTCCATGGGGGTCACTCCACCACTCAACCTAGAGAGGGAGACCCCGACCCCAGTCCCCGCACCTGGATCCAGGGCTTCTGTGAGGGGCTGACCCATGACTGGCAGTGAGGTGACCCTGCTTCACTCCCTGGACTTTGAGTTCCCATGGGGCAGGCCCTGATGCGACCCAAGACAGAGCAGAGGGGATGAGAGTAAGGATTTGATTCGGGCTTTTCTGTGTTCCTATGGTGATTTGCTGTGTTTACTAGCTGAGTAACCTTGGAAACATCTCAACTTCTTTCCAAAAATAGAGGCTGCGGTGCCTGCCTCATAGGACGAAGAGGACTGGGGAGGATGCAGGCGCAGCAGGGCTCCTGATGTCTGCACATGAAAACGCGCAGGACGTGGAGGGGTCGTGAACAGGCCGTCACAGCAACTGTGCGGGAGGACTAGGAGACGGAGCAGACAGACCATGCTGCTCTGGAGGCTGAAGCTCCATCCTCTTTGGGTCCGGAGCCCCAGCGCTCTTTTCTTCCACTTGCTGTCCCGCGACTACACATGCACCTGCTGCCTTACCCCCAAATCAAGGTTGAGCCAGAGAAGGCCCCAGTGCGGTCTCTGGGGTGGTGTGGGACCTGGTGACCTGGGACTCTGGCCAGAAATCCTGAGCAGAGTCTGCTGGGTGTGTCCCACCCACCTGATGTGGGGCAAGAAACAGATGACAGAGGTGGCCCCGGGCCTTCCAGCCCCTGGGAAGAGCCAGGCTGAGCCTTATAAAGGGACTGCTGTTCGTCCAAACGCACACATCTCACGCATCCTTCCCCTGCTGACACGTCCCAGCTCTGGTAAGTCTCACCTGCCCCTCTGCCTTTTCTAGCAGTGCCCAGTGTTTGGCCTGCTGTGCTGTCTGCAGTAGGGGGAAGGGCTGCGGATGAAGTCTCAGGATCCAGGGTCTAGGCCAGCTCTGCCACCAGCCGGGATGTGCGACCGTCACTGGAGCCCAAGAGCGCTCCTCTGTAGAACCAGGAGGCTGGACCAGCCCTGCCCATTGCTCCTACGGGGTCTCCTGAGACAACTCCTGTGGAAATGTCCCCAGTGGGACCTGAGCACAGCACCCTCCGTTTCCTCCCTGTCTTCTCCTCCCTGGATTCATCCTCTTGTTGGGGTCTGGGGTTCTGAATCCCCTCTGTAGCTCTGCCCCCACAGAGGGTGGAGGGATAAAGGTCCCTTGTGAATGCTTTGGGGGCTCTTCAAAGCCCCAGGCCTGGGACCTACAAAGTCTCAGTTATCCTCGGAACTGGGCTGAGCCCCTTGCCTTGGCCTCAGATTCAAAAAGCTTTGGGTGGCTCCTTTTAGTCAGTTGCCGGCACGGCGCTTTCTCCTGCGTTGGGAGGTGATGGGGGTTTATTGTCAGATGCTACACGCGTTAGCCAAGGTCATTTTCTGGTTCTTTGGAAAGGGTGGGAAGTGAGAGCTGCACTGTCCTATTTTTCAGGCTTGGGTGCAGGCCAGCCCAGACTATCTGCTTTGGAAAGTCAGAACTTTTT